AAATTAACTTTGTGCTTCTTCTAAGGTAGACTACTGCATGCAGCTCATTAGGGGAATTTGGCGTAGCTCGCGGTGATTTCTTTATTTAGCTAAAAGCCAAATCTCTTTCAGCAGCTCTACCCTTTTGCATGTACATGTTTGGAAGCACCCAGAATCATAAAGATTCCTTTCATGTTTATAAAGCAGATACGTTAATACACCAGACTTATTTTAGGTCTTTTTTGCAGAACTAGTCATACAGATTGGTTAGCTCAACTGCTTCCTTACACTCTCTTGGATTGTGCCATTGGAAGTTGGTAAACAATGACTCCTTTGGAAGTCATTGACTTTTTTTTTTTTTAATGGAGACTGGGGAGTGTATTATAAAAGGCAGGCATTGATTTCTGAGGTTTTTGGAAAGCTGATATTTTAATAACTCCTTAACTCTCTTAAGAATAGGCTTTATGAAAGCTTGTAAATTGTTTTCTCCTGTGAATAAGAAAGGTAAAAACCATATTTTCATGAAGCTCCTCCCACAATATGTTGAATGTTATTCCTGGAATTAGATGGACTCAATTTCTTGGCCTCTCACTTCTCATAGCTACATGTTTGTTTTCATGTATATTTTCTATTTCACCCTTTTTTTTTTTTTTGCAGTTTTGGCCTCTTTTAATATGTTAAAAATAAATGAAAAGGTTATATAACAAGTACATTTTATTCTTGTTAGACTGTTACATACATATATCCTGTGATTATTTGCAGTAGATCAATACCTTGGGGAAAAGGAAGGGAGTTAGTTTATACATTCTCTGAAGGAAGTAAAAAAATCATAAGTTCAAAATTAAGTCAGATACACCTTAAAAAGATCCCTTAAGTCACCAGAAAAGATGGCACACACGGGGAATGTACACAGCCCTATGTAGTAATTCTTCTGCTACTGCACCTGTGATCCACTGAGCCAAGTCCAAGGATGGAAAGGGTGTTTGGAAGTTATCTCTGTCATCAGACCACTCTGCTTCCATGGGAGGAGTGGACTGGGGACTGGAAAATCCCAGTGTGGCCCTGCTTGTGTGCAGGCTTTATGCCATCACCTTTTTTTAACACAAAGACTCCTTATCTTCATCCTTGTTAATAGATGTACTCTTTTGGGGAAGAATAAACAAAAGAATACATATGGCAGCCTCTAACATAGCGCCCTGCATCGGTACAGTAGGTGCGTAATAAGTCTATAATGAGTTTGCTCTGACCTAGCTCGATCCATTCTACTGTCACACTGTTTGAAAAGGTGTCCAGAAAATCCTGGTCACCTGCTTTGTGTTTTCCCAAATTGGTGTTACTAGTGGTGACCCTTTCTGAGCAGTGTTCCCATTCTCAACCCCTTATTATCTGACTTCAGATAAATTTTTGTGAATTAAATCTTGAATATTCAAGTTACAAAATGGTGTCAGATCATTTCAAGTGATGCCAGGTAGGGGGAGCCTCAGCACAATAAATCCTCAGTTTAAAAAAATTCAAACGTATTCTTTTTATGTCATGGTATTTAGCTACAGTAAATAAACCTCTAATTTTTTCCCCCATTCTCATATGGAAACTTGAGGCTCATATCTATCCAACTCCAAAAGTAGGTGCATAGGAAAATGACTTGAATCTTGCAGATGATTTTACCAGAGTGAATGGGTTTCGCTAATTTACTTTTGGTATTTACAAGCATTGTCTAATGGGTTACCCCTAAGTCTTTTACAATGACCCTTCACAATGTTCCATCCCCCTATCATCCCTTAGTCTGGTATATATATGGTTTGTTTCCTCAACTAGCATATAAACTTTCTAAGAAGGCTACAATTTTGTTTCATTACTGTATTCTCAGTGCCTATAACAGTGCCTGGCATGATAGGTGCTCAGAAAACTGTTGAATGAAGAATAAGTAGTTTTCTGTTATTATTTAAACTGATACCTTTTGACTTAATAAGCAAATATTATAGTTATTAAAATGTGAAGTTTCTAAAAAAAAAAGTGAAGTTTCTGAGTTTATACTCTAGGAATTTCACTGATAACTTTGTGAAGTAATCAGAACTTGAAAACTTTGATCATTATCCTTCTCTGGTGATTAGATATCCAACTTCTTTCATAATTTACTTCAATAATCTTCTAACAGCTTACATTGTATTTATAATATTCAGTCAGGATGTATAGATGAATGTAAAATGAACAAACTAGGACTGTAGTAAAGGAAATACTCTCATTTTACCTTAGTGTAAAATTTCTAGTTCACACACACACACACACTTACTTCAGGGCATCTGTGTGAGTCTCAGATATTTGCCTCAAGGGTGCTGTGTAAGTGAGGCCCCTAGGTGAGGAACAGAATAGCTAAAACCTGACCCTCTGTAATGGGCTTTATCTTTAAAAAATACTAAACATCAAGAAAGTAGTCATCATAATTTTGAGCATTTCTTTCTGGAGCAAAAATGAGGAATGAGTGAATATTTTATTTTTATTTTGATCTAATTTATTTATTCTTATTAAACTATTTATTTATTTATTTATTTATTTATTTATTTATTTATTTATTTATTTATTTATTTATTTATTTATTTATTTAAACTAAGGAAATGATTTTAATTCACCCCCACCCCGACCCAGTCTACCACTTCCCTCCTTCCTCCCCATTACCTACTTTCCGGTAACCACTAGTCAGATGTCCATGTCCATGAGTCTCTGTCCTGTTCCTTTGTTGCTTTTAGGTTTATATCCCACATATAAGTGATATCATGTGATTTTCAGCTTTTCGTCTGGCTTATTTCGCTTAGCATGATTATCTTGAGGTCCATCCATGTTGTCGCAAATGGCAGTATTTCATCTCTTCTTATGACTGAGTAATATTCCATTGTATATCTGTACCACAGCTTCTTTATCCAATCATCTATCATAGGACACTTTGATTGCTTCCATGTGAATATTTTAAAAGCCGTATTTTTGATTAGTTATCAAGATTGCAGTTGCCAGGTTGGAAGTGGGAAAGCCAGTTTATGGCATGAGGCATGATGAGGTGTGAGGCTGCTGAGCACTGAGATTGGTCTTTACAGATTGGGCCCTGAACGAAGTAAGATTTATTTTCCAAATTAATCCCTGAGGTCAGCGAGGTTTATCTTCCAACCATTCATTCATTTAACAAATATTTATTGAGGGCCTAATACGTGCCAGACACTGTGCTAGGTGGTAGATATACAGAAGTGACTGAAAACGACATTGTTCCCACTTTCATAGAGCCTGTGTTCCAACCTAGTGTCTTTTGGGGCTACAAGATTGTGTGAAATTGAAGGACCCTTTTCTCTGAAAATCAGTAAGTCAAGTCAATTAATCCGTCAGCCTCTTCACACACACACACACACACACACACACGTACGCACGCACACAACTGTGGGGTGGGGGCGATCCACACTCACTGAGTTTTGTATGCCATTTCCTGGGGTTCAGAAGGCTTTCACAAGTTTGCTTAGTGGAGGGCCCCTCTTCTCTTGCCCCTTAGCCCCTTCACTGCTCTCACTTCCTCCGTAGCACCTTGGGATGTCTTGGATAAGACTTCCTGTAATTTTCTCTTCATATTTGAGGACTGTAGGGAGCTAAAGCTCCCCAAATTCAAAAGAGTGCATGGATTATCTCGGGAGGCCTGCTTGCATAAAAAAGAAAAAGGCTGGTTCTGTGGAATTCCAGCAAGAGGATTAAGAATAGTCGAAGGGAGTGTCAAAGGGAGTGTCGAAAATTGTACCTTGATCTTATTATGTTATTTTGGGATACACAAAACAGATTATGTATAAAAAGAAGCATAAGAAATAAACTCGGAGAGACAGTTGTGAGATCTGTTCTCCCTCCTGCACCCTGTCTATCTTCTCTTTTTTCTCAGTCCCCGCTCCCCCATTCAGGTACCTGGTTCGACTTGGTCGGCTGGTTTCCGACAGAGGACATGATGAAGCAGTAAGCCTCAGGGAAAAAGGCCCAAGGAGTGCTAGGCAGACCCGGGTCAGCAGCCACCCTATTCTGTGGCTTCGAAGAAGTCACTTCTGCTCCCTCCCTGAGTCTCTCTTTTTGCATTTGAGCAATAGAAAGGGTTGGATTTGAGTAACGGAGGCTATTTAAGCTTAAGTTAGATGAGCAGGCTTTGAAGGCAACAGAGACTATCTGTGTAAATTATAGTCTCACTGCTCATTAGCTGGGTGATTTTGAACAAATTACGTAGTTTACCTGAGCCTTACTTCTCACACACGAAATGGAAAAAACAGCAATATATCTCATGGAATAGTTTTGAGAATTAAACCAAAATCTATATAAACTTTCTAGGACAAAAATGGTCGCTATTATTAGCCTTGTTATATCCAAATTGTCTTTCAGGGGAATTTCGTCAATAAATAAACTATTTATTGAGTACCTGGCATAGACAACTTCTATGATTGTATTCCTGTGATGTCACTGAGCCATCGGGCCGTGATATAGGACAGTAGTGAAGGAATTCACTGTTTTAGGCCTGGTTTAATTTCCTGGTTCACCACTAACTAGCTGGGTGACCCTAAGCTCTCTGACCTTTGTTCAGTTTCTATTTCTGAAAGATGGGATGATGATAACATATGACCCACTCACAACAGAGGCTGTTAGGAGATTTAAACAAGGTCATGCAAACAAAGCATTTAGCACAGTGCCTGGCCCAAAGAGCATTCTTGATTTTAATAAGGCTAGTTCAATATTAATAGTATTATTTGATTTTAATTAGTTTAACCTAACCTACCTCTGCACTCAGGGCTAGGTTGGATCTAAAGAAGTTTCCCTCTGGATTTTATACAGGTCCAGCTGATGACAGCATCTCACTTATCTAGGCTGAAGTAGTAAAATTAAGAACTGTGATTCAAAACTGGCCTTAGATGTTCCTTGGAAATAATTACTGTTCTTACAAGTAACTGTGGTTACTGTGAAATAATTCACTTTGGTAAAAGATGGATGCTAATTCTTCTTTATGTGTTTTCTTTTAGTATCCCAACCCCATGGATAAAAATGTTATCTCTGTGATAACTATAGAGGAAAAAAGAGGTAAGTTCTTTGAATATACCTTGCTTCAGTGATGATCATTAAGTGATACTGATTTTTGTAAAGATGTGTGTGTATGTGTGTGTGGCCCATTATGTTTTAAACATAATAGGTTTATTTCTGTATTGACCGATGGAAAAGAACATCCAGCATTTGCAGAAGTCGAAGCCTTGCCTAATATATTATACTCTTGTTACTTTCTCAATTAATCATTGATGACAATCATAACAGCTGACATTTTTGGGTACTTAATATGTGCTGGGAACTTTTTCTTTTATTAACTAATTTAATCTTTATAACAATGTATGGGGTAAATATTATTATTGCTCCTATTTAATAAATGAAAGAGCGAAGGTACAGAGAGGTTAAATAACTTGCCCAAGGTCACATGACTATATCCCCGTAATATATTCATACATACTTTTATAGATGGTAAAATAGATGTGATTAATATCATGTATATGAGATGTGACTGTAAAAGTGATTAGATTATGTAGTTGTAACTGTGCTTAATTGTAATATGGTTCAGTAGTATTGACTAATGCAGAGGTTGACCAATTATGCTTGTGCTGCGTGTTGTTGTAAATAAAGTTTTATTGGTACATCGCCATGTCCATTTGTTTACATGTTATCTACGGCTGCTTCCTTATGACAACAGAAGAGTTGAGTTGTTGTGACAGAGACTGTTTGGCTCACAAAACCTAAAATATTTACCATTTAGACCTTTACAGAAAATGTTTATCGACAATTGGGCTAGAATGTAGGAGTCTTCATTGATCTCTGTCATTCACTGTCAGTATTCGAACTTGAGAACTGGGCAATGCAGGAAGCTATAATGATGCACATAATCAATGTGTAAACATTTGGAGACATGCAGGCCCACACCTAACATGTTCTTGAGCCTTCTGAGTAAATGAATGAGATGCTTCTGTTCATTACATGACTGAGGCCTTCTCTATGCTTGGTGAACACAAAACTGTCTTGCTTGTGAAGATATTTTTTGCACTTCCTTAACTCTATAAATATTTTTTAAAAAACATTTTTTCATGTGCTTGCACTCGGTGTGGGAGAAACTTGTCACTCGTCATCAGAGAAATCTGATTTCAAGTCTTGATTTTGTTACTATTTGTATGACCTAACTTCTTGATACCTCAGTTTCTTCATCTGTTAAATGGGGAAGTAGTAATCCTGCTTTTAGGTTGTTGTGAAGATCAAGAGATAGAACAGCGCGCACATTCCAAAGTGGTATAGGAACGTTAATTATGATTTCTAACATAGACGAGGGCATCTTTGCCTCCAGGAGTGGCTCATCCATTTTAAGTCTGTGTGCTGTAAACGTTGGATGAAGTAGCTGGAGGAATGCCAGCAGGCAGAAGAGACAGACCAGTTTGTCACCCTGTCAGCGACTTCTGAAGAGTAAGGGTGTTTGCACCAAGGTTCAAGGTTCTTATAGCTGGAGCTTTGAGGAAACTTGGCAGGAGCCTGGCTGAGTCACAGTAATTCACAGAGCAAAAGACAACACTTTGAGGTTTGTCTTTTTCTCAAACTTGGTCTTCTTTTTTCTTATCTCACATTTATTGAGTGGTTTGTTGTTTTTTTTTTAACATCCGATAATTCATTATAGGTCTAAATTTTGTAACCGCTGTGCTTGAAAACATATTTGGTGCAGAAGGTGGCACAATCAGATTCTCCATTTTTTTTTTTTTTTTTGCTAAAACATTTTCTTTGTTGGAGTTGAGCAGGAGGCTTGTTGGCCCATGTCATTGGAGTTTTGATGTTGATAGTCCATAGCAATGAACAATTCATGATTCTTTTATCCCTGACTTTAGTCTGTGCCATGTGAGTAGCTTTTTTATTCTTATTCCTTGATTACAGATAAGTACCTTTGGAGTAATTTGTCCCAGAACAGGGACACTGACTTTTGAGTTAAACATTTTCTTTAGGAATTCTACATATAGAAAATTGAGATTGACATTAAAAATTTTATTGACTTTTAAGACAAGAGTACCTTTCTTAAAAAACTTTTTTTTGAGTATAAAATTTTTCTGTTTCTAGATGTGTCAACAGGGATCATCTATAGAAAGAGGATTGCAATCTGTCGGAATGTGGTTCCAGAGATTTTAAGGAAGGTAAATGAATTTCAGAATTTAGCTTTGTTGTAACACTGGGTAATTTTCCAAGTCATAAAAAGAGCATTTTCTGGTGTAAAGGAGTGTTAGAACTTTCACAGTTCTCCTACCTTATAGCTCTTCAGAGGAAGAAGGTCTGTTGTATCCAGCCTCACTTTGGGCAGATGCTCCGGGGATGGATAGTTTTTCCCTGTCTGTTTCTATCTCCTTCTCTCTCTTTTGTGGAGGGCTCTTGGTGGACGTAGAGATGGTCGGCAGTTATTTTGGACATTTTACATGAAGCGACTACCTTTTCTAATCTGTCCATGCTTTAATGCAATTCTTAGATAACAATGATCAGAAGTTGGCAGATAGCAAATATTTAGTCAGATCTTTAGTAAGGAAGATAGAAACTTCAGTTTCTATTTCACTGTCAGAATTGTTATTTCAGAGAGTATGAGGTTCTCAGTACTCTCTGTAAGTCTTCTTATGTATGTTTCTGTAAAGTAATATGTTGATGACATCTTCATGATCGCAAATTGTCTTCTCTCTTTGAAATCTTTAAGCACACTGGTGATTGTTGGAAAAAAGGTAAGTAGGAATTTTTAATCACATTGCTGGAACCATAGAAAAATTAGTGCCAAGAGCCCTTTAAAATCATGTATGTGATGTGGAACCCAGTGAGACTCTTGCCCATGAGTTTGCAGATTACATTGCTGGGCCGTATGTAGAAAAAGTGGTGGCTTCTATCACTTCCTTATCATGGATTAAGACTCTCTCACGTTCTTTAGTGAAGAGAAGGCTGATATGACAATGAAAATGAACTTTCTTTTATTTTCCAGATGGTAAAATGTGTTGCAGTGTGTGT